GAAAACCCATAGCTAGTATAAAACGTGCCTTTAAATTAAAAACCCCTAAAATTTATAAATATTTTGGGGGGAAAAATCAATTATCATTTAGTAAAACATCAAAAATTTTATTTCGCAAAATTTTAACAATTTTTGGATAACTAATATTAAAAGTTTTCACAATTATACGGCTCTCAAAATAACAAAACGAACCCAAAATTTTTTTTATTAAAATACATTTTTAAACATTTTCTTTATTCAAAATTGGAGTAAAATCTAATTTCATATATTGAAAACATATAAAAGGCTAACATTTTGTATAATTCATGATATTTTAAAAATAAAAATTTTTCTTTAAAAAAAGACCCTTCCAAAAGGCCCTTTTTTGTTTCTCCAGGGAATTCTTAAAAACCCCCAAGTTTAAATGTTTCACATGTACGCAAGTCCAAATGTCACGTACAGAGTGACAAAAATGTACTGCCTGACAGGGACACGACCCGGGATCCTCGGAATATTGCACGTGGCTCTACCGACTGAGCTATCCGACTGCTTACACATTATCTCCCCTAGATAGTGAACAGTTCTGAACAGAGACATACTCCCCCGGCTATATTGAAATTCGTCCCCGAATTTCTCAGGGTTACAGAGCAGCTAATTAAATTCTAAGCTATATCCAGTCACGATTTGTCGTATTAATAATTCTATTTCTCTTATCATGCAATGTAAACTAGAATCTATAAGGAAATGGTTTTATTTCTTTTTATGCTTCCTCTACTTATAACTTGTTTTATATTACTATACAAAATCATTTCAAAAGTATATCAATTCTGGGACAACGCCCAGACCAATTGAACGCGTATGGACACACCTACGTATATATATGAAAAGACGATTTCAACATGCCCATATTCAGACATTTTATGTAATCTTAATTGTAATAATAGGAACGATAAAAAAAATCAAACCATTTTATATAATATGCCTCGTCAAGATGGTAAAAAGTCATTGTCGGGCCATTATTGCATAAATAAATGGCGAGCAGCAACCAAGTGTTCACCTCTAATTAAAAAGACTTTGCTAATCTCTGTTATCGGATCAAGAACATGATTAACAAGAAGTTTCCTTGAAAAGATACTCGGACGAGTAAAACTTCTTTACTTGCATGGTGTCTTTCGGTATGCACGTGTTTTTTCCAGGACTGGTAGTCTCGTCATTTTAGAATGTCATTTATAACTCGGTAAATTCTTATGTGGAATAAGATATTCACGAAAGAATGGAAACTTTTAAAGCAGTGTAAAATATTTATCTGGAGGAAATTCACAGATTTCAATTATCCGAGAAATTAAACTGGAAAGTTTGTTTGCGATACTGCTTTAGATTATTTAATAATTTAGAAGTCTATACGTTTCAGAAAGATCCTTGATATTATCATGGCCAATTGGATTCCCGGATTACAGTTTGTAATCTGAAAATGACCGATGAAAATCTTTTTACTATTCAATTCTTCCCTTTAAATTTTACAGGAAGTCATACCGATCTAAGACGGACTTCACCGGGAAAAAAGGAAAAAATCCGCAACACTTTAAAATCGTAATTTTTTTGGGAGTTTAATTAACCCGGGTTTTATTCTAAATATAATGAAAAAACACGGGGCCCCAAATTTTTATCTTTTCTTTATAATGTAAAAACAAAAACAAAATCACGGGTCAGTTGGGAATTTGGGTGATAAAAATTATAAACTTTAAAAATTATTTAAACACAAAAAAAAATTTGGGAAAAAAAAACCCCCTTTGGGGCACAAACTTTTTCCATGACTTGGAAAGTTTAGGGGAAGAATAGCTAACATGTTTTTTAAAGTTTTAGGTTCGGGGTCCTTTCACGTGCACATTTTTTTTTCTATTTAAATGTTTTTTAGAAAAAACCCAAAGATTTTTTTTCCCTCTTCAAACACTTTTAAACAAAAACCATTCAATTGATTTTTATCCTTTTCATCCAGTATACCTTTTGATGTCAATTAAAAAGTGAAAAGTAGTTAAAAAAAACACATGAAAAATTTGATTTGCGTTTACCGATCGATCACACATATAGAGAATATGTAAACTTTAAAGAATATATTAACTTTCATAAGTCTGTTGAAAGAAATCCGTATACTGTATATAAGGGGAATATTGATGATTTTAAGTAGTAGTATTTAATTCATTTAAAGGGAAAGACAAGGTTAAAATAAAAACTTGATTTCAGAAAAAGAATACAATAAATAATAAGTCTGCAAATTTTCTGCCGCCAAATAATAATATTAAACGAATGATAACAAAATTTAAATCGCTAAATCACCGATTTCTACAAATCGGTAAGCGCGGCCATGTTTGTGTATTGGCCGTATAAAAACAGGTGCGCGTGATGTCATTTCCCCACATCTTTTAGATTCATGATAAATCTAGTTGAATCGTAAGGAAATATTAATATAATAAAGTATTGATCTGACAATTTAATTTTCACAGGAGGTGTAGAGTAGATTTTTTATGGTTCAAAATACGTAACAATATCAAAAAAAAAAAAAATAAAATAATAATAATAAAAAATAAAGAAACGTACGGCTAGCCAAAAGTTCTAGCCGTACGTGAGTCACGAACGACTAGCCAGGACGCACTGTATTGTCTAGCCGTACGGCAATTTTCAAAATTATATGGAAGTCGAACGTTATAAAATTGTTGATTTTCATGCTTATCATTTGTTGTTTAATTTGTATGAATTATTAAATCATTTTTGTTAATTTTAAGCACATGGATCGAATAAAAAATGATCGGAGTGGAATAAATAAATAAAAAGAACATTGAATGGAAAAAAAACGGTGAAATGCAAAAATAATTATATAATTTTCAAAACAGTAGATAAATATCGAACATAAAAGCACAGTCAATCAATAAAATTAGCCTTAATTAAAACCTGTCCAGGGACTGACAATAGAATTTTAGAATGCCTTTCACGGAAAATGCAAATTAACTTTCCTTGAGACAGTACCGTCGGTAATTGTCGCAATTATCAAGAGCTCAACGACAATCATTTTCAGTGTTTGTTGTTGTTGGTCTTTTTTTCATATAAAAGGTGTCGAAAATTAAACTTAATGAAACAAAAAAGGATTATTATCAAAAATTTGTAAACTATTTCAATTGGTGTAAATGCAAGCAAAGGCTATTTTTTCTCGACATCTTGCGATGACAAAGATCGATATATATAGCGATCAAGGCGATTAATCTCTAAAAAGTTAACATCCAAAGACAATTAATGCTGTTTCTTGGTTAAAATCCTCGCTTAAAGTCATAAAATAACATATGCATTTTCGACTTCCATAAAATTTTGAAAAGTGCCGTACGGCTAGCCAATACAGCGTGTCCTTGCTAGTCGTACGTGACTCACGTACGGCTAAAACTTTTGGCTAGCCGTACGGGCCCGTACGCTAGCCACTTCCATTATAAAAACCCTACTAAAACGTGTTCTTAATAGTACATATAATTAATTTTTTGCAGTTTGATTCTGACTTTCAAATTTAAAGGTGTGAACATATGTTATAATTGATGTACACATTTCAAAAATTTCAGCAACTGTTTTGAAAAGTAAATTGTTAACATGTCTGTCAACGTATGATGCTGCGCATCGTAATCGTAGCCTAATATTAACTGCAGGCAAATCATTTTTATTGGCTGCTCAAAAATCTAATTTGCATAATTTATTCACACAATTGCTGGTTCTTACTACTTATGTCTAATACTGCGTATTGTCCATTTTAATTGTTCCTAATTTGCACCAAATGCTCCTGTCACACTGTGTACTGACGATTTTTATTGCTCCTTGTATGCCTCTGTGCCGACAGACCTTTTGATCATGCACAATGTTGCCCTCTAGATAAACATCACCATTGTCAAATATTCTAATGACGAAATAGACATCTATTTTTTTACGCTTCATCAGTGAACTGAATGACCTTAGGGGGAATTCGGTTCCACACCTGTCAAATTGTACTGTTGTAAATTTCAGCACGTCATAAAATAGCAACACATTTTTTTCAGTTCCCAATAATCATTTTAAATATTAAGTAGATTTATGATTTTTTGTTTTATTGAATTAAATTTACTGTAGAAGAAATGCGTATCTGTCGGGGAAAGGAATTTGGTAAGTAGATAACGTGGAAAAAAGCTTTGGGGAACTGGATAAACCCGAGAATATGCGTAATTATAGGGGAATCGGCAACTTGTTGCTGTTGGTACCAGTTTTGACTGGGTGCCTAAATAACTTTACGGACGGTTTTGTTTTCATACGATATAAGTCTGGCTGCCGATTTTCCTGCGCCTTTCTCATTTTTAGCGTCAATGGCGGAAAATCGCGTCCTCAGCATATTGGATTTAGTTGATATTTTACCTGAAAAAAAGATATATGACCGGCGATGTACCCTATTTGGACAGCTTGTCTAGCGAAAATTAAGTACAAAATAAAAGGATATATCGTCAATTTGAAGAAGTTTCTCATAGTTCCCAAAGTAAATTTATGGTTTATCTTTGAAAATTAAGCAGTCATTGCTTAAATCATGTGGTGGGATCATCAGCAAGCTTGAGTATCGGGCAAATGATAATTAATGTCGCGGCGGCGTCTTCAATTAATTAATTAAAGCAATTCAGTTCCATATGATGTTTTCATAAATAATATATAATGTACGCAATTAAATTAATAAGTTCTTCATCAAGATATATTTCAGTTGTACCAGCGTGTACAACTATACCGGAAGTGGGTATAACACGTCACAATCTCGGTCTCGTCTGTCTCGCGAGAATGACAGAACGCCAAAATGGCGGCGCCCATGAACTTATTTCTCAAGTAAAAAATAGTGTCTTTAAACACGAATTTCTCTTTTATAGGGTTGATGTCAATAGGGAAACTGTCATGGTTCCTCTTTTTAAATGATGAATATTTATATTAGACAGACATCGATCCATCCATTCTTATTCCTTTAAGAAGAATAAAAGCGTGGGTTGTTCGAATCTGTTTAAGTTTTTTTTTTCGTATATTATTAAATGAAGTATTAACTATGGCGGGTAGTTTATGGGGGCATATAGACGAGGGCTTGGTTTTTATTACTCTGGGATTATGGTGGTTGTTTAATGTTTTCAAACGATATCTACGGGTATGTCTTTTATATACTTTGATAATTACTTTGACTTAACATTGCTGTTTTCAAGTGCACATTATATCGAAGTTTGCTTTTTTGCTGTGGGATTTTTTTTCTTAATTTTATTTAATTTTTTGTTGTTTTTTGTGTTTTTGTTGTGTTTTTTTGTTGTGCTTTGTTGTTGTTTTTTTCATTTTGTTGTTGTTTTTTCATATAATCGGCGATCAGAGCTGCATCAGTACTATAAGCTCCTAGGGTGTATATATACATACATACACTACAGTACTGGACTTTAGCTCGGTACTGCAGAACCAGCACTTTTTTTAGGAAGTAATTAAGTATAAGTACCAGTAAATTTATATATTCATCATATATATTCATCGTATAGTTCGAATAAATACACACTGTCAAACAAAAATTAACATAATTTTTATAACATGTATATATATGTATATCTACATATTTTAATGATACATTTTTAAACAAGTATTTCCATTTCACATAACTTTTGTACACTTCAAATTTTTAAAAAGTGCTTACATTATTCGGCATTGATTTTTTTTTTATATTTCTGTAATACTGTTTGATACAGGCCAATCAATACCAATTACAAAATAAATTATCCATCCCTCAATCCATTCTTTTCTAGAGAAATCATTTAAATTCTACAAAGTATTTAAAGGTTTAACTCAAATCAGGCTAAAATCAATCCTGTCAGGTGAAAAAAATTCAGAGGTGTCCTTTTAAATCGGAATAATCAATAAAAATAAAAATCATTAATATATGTAGTGGTGGGGTTTTCAACAAGAAACACTTGTAAACGTTTATAGATTTATTCTATAAAGAATAAAACCTGTAACAAATAAAATAAGTATGAGACATCACAATACAAACAAATATTTTACAATACAAATACATTTCACAAAATACATAATACACAATTATTACACAACAATTCAAATTACAATAAAAACAATTTCACAAATAAATATATACAAATATACATACCAGGCTTGATAGAAAAGATTCTTCAAAATAAATAAATTGAATACAAGATACAATCAATCAAGTATTTCTGTAAAGAAATAACTGATAGTTAACTAGTCTAATTTAGATCTTTTCACTTCGAAAGCGAGACAAGGAGTGGTCAGTTACCAAGAAAATATCATATCCCAGAACCAAATCATCTAAAAATAACTTGCATACCAAAACCAATCATCCATCACTAAACTTGCAAAACCAGTTCAATCACCCATACAAAGGAACAAAGACAAACATGAACACATAACACCACAATAGATTTGGTTTGGCCTTTAAGGGAAATAACTACCGTATATATTATAAAAAGTGAACTTGGCTTAATTTCACCTTATCTACACACTCCCCCCTCTAGTTAAAAATGACACCGGCATTTTCTTAAACAATTATTAATGAAACCTGGATTTATGAAAAAAATAACATTATGATCAATTCGAAAAACAAAATGCAATTCACTGTATATTCATATGACGACATAAATATATCATATTATTTAAGATATACTGCCCTCCTATAACTATTTTGCAATAGTTAAACAGTAAAATATAAAGAAATAATGCAATACAGTAGAGTTGTCAATTCTACTTGAAAATAATAAATACATAGTATATACCTCCATACATAGGACCCCATGTGAAATTTAAAAGGACTGCATTAAAAAATGAAACAACATTATACAATAATTATACCCATTCTCCATACCTATCCGGTGGATGTATCACACGTCTAGGGCGTGGGATAGGGCGTGAAGATAAAACGGGCGTATGTACTGGAATGACTGGAATAGTCACTGGAGTACTTGGTCTACTCACTGGAGTAACTGGTACATTTACTGGAGTAACTGGAACACTAACTGGAGTAACTGGAACACTTACTGGAGTAACTGGGATAGTTACTGGAGTAACTGGAACACTTACTGGAGTAACTGGAACACTTACTGGAGCAACTGGAACACTTACTGGAGTAACTGGGACATTGTCTGGGGAATATGTCACAGGATTGGGGTGAATCCTGGGAACAAATGAAGGGATAGAAATAGAAGGAGCATCAGAAGAATGTCCATAATCAACACGAGTATTGCGACTGCGAGTAACTGGAAATCTCCTCTGTGGTATGATGTATACACCAGATGATGATTCAGAAGAGCTAGAATCAGCATCATACTCTTTCTGTATAGGAACACGTCTAGGTTTTGGTTTAGGCTTAGTTTCAACAGGTAAATCTGTATCTTCTTCAGGGATAGAATAAATGGAAGAAGCATATTTCTGTGAAGGGTTCTGACAGGACCTTTTCGAGACTCAAGTTGTACTTTATATACAGGTTGGTCAGGAAATGGTATGTCAATGATAACAAAAGGGTCCTTCTCCCACTTATCTGCCAGCTTCTGTCGCCCTTGAAGATTGACTTTTCGGACCAAAACAATATCGCCTACAACCAATTTGTTCTCGCGAACTCTACGGTCATATTGCTTCTTGTTTTGATCAGCCCGCTTCTTGGCAACATCACCAGCTAAACGATAAGCATATTGAAGGCCGTTCCTTCAAACGAGAAACATAAGTAGTAGGAGAAAGATGTTCAGAGTTAGAAGGAAAAGTACCAAGATAGGCATCAACAGAAAGACGGGGATGCCATCCAAACATAAGAAAGTGTGGAGAAAAACCTGTAGAAGAGTTCTTGGTGGCGTTATAAGCCTGAACAAGAGAAGGAACAAAATCTGCCCACTTAGATTTGTGATCTTCTGCCAGAGTACCTAACATTCTGAGAAGGGTCCGATTTAAATCGCTCCGCTGATGGATTTCCCATAGGGTGGAAAGGAGTGGTTCTTGTCTTTCGAACATTTGCAATTTTGCAAAGTTCCTTGATGACTCGACTTTCAAAATTTCCGCCCCTGGTCAGAATGCAGCTGCTCTGGAAAAGAAATAGTGGACAATAAAAATGTTCATATAAGGCACGAGCAGTGGTAGTCGCCTTTTGATTACGGCAAGGAATAGCCCTTGGCGTATCTGGTAAAAATGGTCGGTAATGTACCGATAAGACGCCTTTTTCGAGTACACGATTAGCAGGCATTAGTTCGGAATGCACCACTTAGACGGGTGTCTTTCCTGGAGCTATACTAGCCATTTTTCGCTTTTGCATCTTCGCTGTAGCATCACAAATTGAGAGAGCTAACGCATAAGATTTGAGACGTCGTTTGTGAAGCCACGCTCTATGTGAACATCCACTCGAGATTAAGCCAGCATATTAACTGAGTGAAGATTTGAGCAACGGGATATTATACAAGTGGAATTGTACTTCTTCTGTCAACAGCCGATGTCTAGTGGGAGTGAACTAGACGCCCAGATTTTCATAGACACGATCCATCTTTGATAGAAAGTCAACGACGAGTAGAAGTCACGAGAAAGAAGGCAGATCTTGACGTCTTTCGACATCTTCCTCCCCCCTCGGACGAGAACCAAGACGTTGGCATGGGAAGAGACAAGAAAGTATCAATCAGATTGTCTATGTAGAACACTCACTACCTTTCGCTTCGGAGAGCATCTTCATCGTGTGTTCTGATCTTTGCAGTCTTTCTATTATGTGAAATAGTTAAATTCCACTACAGTTTTGCGATGCATAAATGAGTTGGTACCAAAAAAATCAGCGAGCATCGTCCGCATGCAGCAAATCTAGTGTCAGCAGAAGAGCACGAGACGACAGATAGCTACGAAAACGCGACGAGTTCATGGGAGCCTCGATTGCACGCAACATACTGCTGAAAAATTGAGAGCAGTCTGTGGGGCGAGACTGAGGAGAGATGAACCATGCGAGATACTCGTGTGAGATATACTTGTTTACCAGTCAGAGTACTCAATATTATTGATATTCAGCAGCAACTCAGATATGGGCAGACAGAAGGCATGCCCATTACCCAAAGTCCGACGGTGACGCCCTGTCCAGCGTTCGCGAACTGACGAGACTAGTAAGGACACACGGTATCATATAAGTTCGCTTCGATATTTATTGGTGTTTGTTGTCAGTAGTATAACAACGAGAATTGGTTTGCCATTATTGCGCTGAAGATAAGTCTGTTTAAAGAGAAAAACTATATACAGCGAGACAGCGCGACAATCTTCAGTGTCAACTAGCTAAAAATTCAAGTTTATGAGCAGGGGTAATTACGTTTCACTACGTCTTAAACCTCGTTGGCTTGGCTACTCGAGAAGCTATGAACCAGTAGGCTTCTCTGCAGGACCTATTCGGCACTGCCATCTAGATATGTAATGCAACTGCTGGTCGGCCTAATAGTACCCACTCCGAGTCGGATATAGTGAAATCTCGGTATATATAAAGGGTCTTAAGACAAAGTGCAGAGCAAAAGCATAGCAACTGGCACGAGGATGAAGGGTATCACGATGATTTCATATCTCCAGCTGTACAGAATATCAAAGCAGACTCGCTGGGAACGACATTGGACACATGCACCACCATAAGACTATATGTACGGCCATGTCGTTTTCTGAGGATATTCGTTCTCTGTGATTAATAGATATCGTTGGCGCGCAGAATATGAGCCTTATGACTCTCCATCAGATAGATCATAAACGGGTTAGTGGCTTGTACAGAGAGGAGTCCATGGCGTTGAGAACTTAATCGTTAGTATATTACTCGCACCACGCGCATGTGTAATATAACCGTGACAGTTTCCGCACAGAAATATGTCCCTTGAATCAATTTCTGCACATCGCTTTATGGGGACTAGGCAAAGTAAGTAGAGATAAGTCGAGAAGTTTTTCAGGTGCCTGAGGGTATATCAGTAAAATACACACTAGTGAGCAAGTATACACATAGGCCCTGAGAGTAAAGATCCAGAACTCAGCAACGTATGTGACCAATGTTCAGCAACTAGAGCCTTTAAGATTGATACGGTAATGCAATTAGACAGACATATCACATGTAGAGTATAACGAGATTGTATACGAGATATCATTTTTGAGGTAATATCGATTTATGCATCATTAGTTCGAAAAGATCAAAATGTCATCGCAAGCCAAAGAACATGAGAAAGTCTACTCTTACACAGCAAAAAGAGAATCACTCATGGCACAGATCCGATGAAGTGGCACAATTGTGCAAAGTAGCTATTATCCTGAATTAACCAATCCAAAGGCCAAGCCTATTGAAATTCGTAAAATCCAAGATTAGTACCAACGAGTAATAAAGCGAGAGAGAGGGACTGTTCTGGAGATCGGTTCCTCCATCTCACTTGCACGGAGTAAACCACGTTTCGCGTACAGTCAAAGTTTAGAGATAAATTGTCAACAACCCACGATAAAGGCACAATGTGCATGAATGGGTACGTCGGAGGATAGCAATAATAGGCATACTTTTCTTGTTCCTAGAGTTAAGGGCCATTCTAAAATTCCACACTAGCAGCAACACCTTAGGCTCGGAGAATATTCACCATTGCGTCTCTGTCTGAGAGACTACAGATAAACCAAGATATTCAGCAACAGAGAGGACAGAGGCAGAGTCCTTAGGCCTGATTGGCAATCAGTAGCAATGCAATTAGACCTTATTTCGCTTCGTTTATATGTAATTTTGTCTATATTCTTCTTGAGAGAATGAGTCACGCTGCCTGCACCGTCTCCATGAGAGACACAGGGGGAATTATGTCTCTGTTAATGTATACTATGAGAGAAGAGGTGCATGCATGTTAAGAGAGCAATCCTAAACATGAGCGTGTAGGGATCCACGTACACTAACCATATCATGTTGATCCTTGGAAAATACATTGATTCCATTGCTTGAGATATCACGCTTATAGCCGCGGAACACGCGAGGAAAGTGCCTCGATGCGGCTATACGAGCATAATCTTCTATGGCTAACTTCGAGTATTTTCAAACCAAGATAGCATGGAGAAATCTAGGGCTGTGAAAGTAGTAGAGTTGCACTGACATTAGATAAGAATGAGTAAGAAGTCAAGGTCTGTTGGTCGTACATAGGCACTGTAACTTCATGTAACCACAAACTGTTAGATTTCGGGCTTAATAGTCCAAAGCTGCAATGTTGTCTTCTCCATGCAGCTCAGATTTAGCTCAGATGCGATAGCGTAGTCGCACGATTTAGCACTAAGTACCGCTCTTTCGCCGCATTGAACCCATAGAGAAACTATTTTGTGGCCGAGACAATATGCATATATAAATATAGACTGCCACTCAGGGATTTTTTTCGACATGTTCCGACTATGTCTTAGTTATCGTACATTTTATGATGTATAAATACGTTTGTGACGCCAATGAGATTAAAGTTTCTAAAAAAAATAAACCGGAGATGTGCAGCGAGCTGCAATTAGGCTAGAGTGAGAGTGTCGAAACTCGGAATTAGGTCGGTGAGAATTCTCGCAGAGAGCACTTGTGGTGCGAGCCACGCAATATTTAGAGACCTAAGAGTTGTGAAAATGTTCTGATTGCCAAAACATTGAAGAACAAATTGTGAAATATCAGATAGAATAAAAGAGTTTACAGAAAGCCGATAAACATTGGTACCCAAATATCACAGGACAAGATATTGTTGTTATGTGTATCAGGGCTACTATACAGGCTACAGCAACGAAGGTTTAAATATCCGGATATAAATACGGAGCAATCGGAATATCAATAGTAACCATAGCACTAAAATATCTAAGATTGCCCATTTGCAACTGAAAGTGTCTAAGTTGAAGTATTGAATTCTGATCCAAATTACAACAAGTAAAGGCAGGATTTATATTGACAATAGAGAAATAAAAATGGAGTTTGATAACTTGTTGAAACCATTGAAACACAGATAATCAACATAAGAAGCTATATGGCTATGAAATAAACCATTAAATAACAATATTGGTCGCCTATTGGAAACAATCAATAAATTCTATTACCAAAAAGTGGATTGCAATTACTCAAATAATCCGCTCTGAATATAGAGACCAACAACAACGAGAGCGGACCCAAGTTTGGGTAAACCGCAGAAGATCCTGTTGCGTCAGCAACATGGCACCTGCATGATTTATACCCTTATACTACGGCACGACCAAACTGAGCGGATTGAGGTATTAGTAAGCTGTGTTTACGGCCGACTGGTGAGTGTATATAATATAGAGGTGACTGTTTTGTAGGTATGTGTTCATGAATATCTAGTTATGTCTGTAACTGGGGTGGATGGTGTGTTCACATTGAGGCAAATAGGAGTAGGAATGTGTAGGTAATTGAGAAGATTATCAAGTTTCTGGTAAAATGGTCATTAAATCAATCCTATCAACACACAGACTGTAAACCGACGGCATTTGTTCAGTGAAAACGGTGCTCCAGTGTCCTTCATAGATTTTTCTTACATAGGAAATAGAAGGCCATTTCACTCAGATCACCTGCGAATTTACCAGAAATTTTTAGACATTGGGCTGGACAGACGTCGGAATAGTATCCTTCTCAATCCTACGGATTTCCATTAAAAAATCATCATAGTCAGAAGCAGAGTCAAGCTTATGTCTACTGCTTGCTCTTAAAGAATCTGACCTAAACCTGACCATAAAAACTTTTCACATAATAATTCATTCCTAGCAGACTTTGGTACAGAACCACCCTCAAAAGCTCTTTGCAAAGTGCACTCTAAACGACACCCATAAGCTGCTACCGATTCATCAACGCCCTGAGATGCATTGAAGAATTCCTTCATAGTAACACCTTGCCTTGAAGGTTCAGCATAATTCACAGACAACTTGTGTAAAATATCATCTATGGACACAGATTCACCCAACGAAACTACCAAAACGTCTAGCTGTGCCCCTTAAAGAAGATCTCACAGCTTGACGAACTTGGGAGTCAAGTAAAGATGTATCTTTTTCCTAAGACACTGTACTCATGGTGCCACTCATAATAAGAAATTTCACCTTTAGGGGTAGGGTCATCTCCAGAAAAAGGTGGAATCTTAGGGGTACGGGATAAGATTGGGGAAGGTGCAGATGGGGGAGCAGAAGGAGAAAAACTGAAGGAAGTTGGCTTTAAACCTCTACCATAGCCATGAGAGGGTGTCTTAGCTGCTGCTGGTGTTCCATCCTTAACAGAGATATGGTACTTTGACGACAAAAAATTAATCATCCATCACTAAACTTGCAAAACCAGTTCAATCACCCATACAAAGGAACAAAGACAAACATGAACACATAACACCACAATAGATTTGGTTTGGCCTTTAAGGGAAATAACTACCGTATATATTATAAAAAGTGAACTTGGCTTAATTTCACCTTATCTACATATACGTAGGTACATGTTTATGTTTAATAAAGGAATAATTACCATGCAACTTACGTATAAAACGAATTCTTACATAACACTGCGCACTCAGGTATACATTAACGTTAAGAAAACATGCATTTACGTACACATTTCTTTGAATTATGTATGCACATGATGCGTGTCTCAGGGCGCCAAATAGTTACATGTATAGATTATTAAATGGAACCGCACTATTGCTCGTGAAAAGCATGACGAAATAGGAGCTGCAAACGAAACGGAGAAATACCGTTGGATATTTTTATGCACAAATAGCGCTGATGCATCTTTCCACGTACATTAACATCTGCAAAACCTCTCGGACATATTAATTTCCTCGCTTTGCTACTTAGCTAAAAATCTGTCCTCATGCCAGATGTAAATGCACGAAAAAGGTGCATTAATCCTATATTGAAAAAGTGTATGTTTTGCTTAGTTTTCTGTAAATAATCATATGTGTTTATATCTTTAAGGCTGGTGGGGCGCAACAATAAAAAAGTGTATATGTTTTCTTAGATTTCTGTTAATAATAATCATATGTGTTTATATCTTTCAGGCTGGTGGGGCGCAACAATACAATACCAGCTTGTCATTCGACTATGATTTTAAAGGAAGGAAAGTGAACTTCGAAGTGTACTCTAAGATAATCGTCCCAATAATAGGTATACCTATTATAATTATTTGTTTATCAAGGGCAGATAACTACAGAAAATAAATAAATGCAAAAGCCAAAATCACTAAAAGATTCATGTTTATAACGTTGAGGGTTTAATTTATTCTTATTTGAAATTTTTTTAAACAGAACTTGCTTGGTACTCCGGTCAATGTTTGATTGCATCTGGGGCTTAATATAAGTAATGTTATGTCCCAGATTCTGTAAATAATTGAAAAATCTTCACATTTGTACTTGCAAATATTCACACATGCCATCTTCACTTTGTACCATATCAAATAGCAGGAGTATCACCATGATCTGTTCACACATTTTCAGGACTTTTAATTGAATTCTTCAATAATGGTGTACATGTAGGATTCACCAATGAGAATGGGTCGTTCAAAAGAATGTCTTCACTTCAGCACATATCAATCTATACGCTGTTTATACTGAGTGGACTGATAGATCTTCTCCAATACAAGAATATTCTCGTCATAGAAGGACTGGAATACCTGACGACTGCTCTCACATTTGCTTGGTATACTTTTCTATGTAGCTAAAACGAATTTAGATTACACACTACAGTGTAACTTCTGAAAACCGAACACCCATGGGACTTGTCAAAAAGTTCGGATTTCAGAGGTTTTCGGAATTCAGAGGTTTTTGATAATGTGGACTTGACTAAGCCACTAAATGTCAAGGAAAATGTGGTCATTACTGTTATATCATATATGATAGTCTTTTAATCAAGATAAAGATGTGAATGAAAAGAATACATTTATATTTAACACTTTATTTAATACTTTATTATAATGATACTTATATAAAACATGCATATACAACGATTTTTATTGTAAATAAACAATGTTTATGCATGTAAGTTACATATTTGCATCTATTTCTATGTTTCTCAATCTGAATAGGTAGCACGTACATTTATAATCAATGTTTTACTGTAAATGATAGTAATACTCAACATCACTATAATTCCGCGTCATCACTAATTTCACGGTAATGGCATATTTACTTTTGACCAGTGTTAAAATTGGTCAGAATTGACATATTTTATTCAAAGACCTAAACAACAAAGTTTTTGTGCAAAATAATTTAAATCTATAGATTTTTACGTAAAACTGAACAACATTTTACAAACTTCTGCAAAAAACAACAACAGTCCATTAAATTTGTGCATACGTCTGAAACAAACATCATTTTCTAAATGTTCTTGTTTGTTAAAAGAATAAATTTTGAGTTATAATGTAAAGATACTTTTAATATTTAAAATTATGCAAAATAACATAACGAAATTGTAACTGAAACATAAAAAAACTGAAATAAAACACCATTACCACGAGTTAAATGATGACATACTGTTTTCAAAATGGCCGACACACGGTCTACATCTGACAAATTAAAACTTACTTTGATTGAATACATTGTTGTTTGCCGAGATATTATTAATCTTTATATATTATTTTCAGGTATGGGCTGATATTTTATTTTCATGTGACACTTGAGAAGCATTCGAGTGAGATGTCAGACATAGTTCACTCCCTTGGCATAGTATGGTGTGAAGGGGTGGCCATTGCTTTGGTTTGGGAATGGCGAACCGTGGACAAGTTCATGCCTAACTATTTTCGTTCCTTGATGGTCTTATGCCTTGGCACTTGGTTCTTTCATATTCCATTTTATCTCTTTGATTCAAGCGGATTTCCAGGTAAAGATCATTCTTATTGCTCAGATTATTTTATTTTAATATCAGTCAGACTACACAGCTTAATGCATATGATTGGAAGAATAACTACATGTATTAAATCAATTACGTTTCAACACGCGTTTTGATCCCCTATGATTAGTGAATTTATCCAACGCCTAACGAAAATGTTTCTTAATTACAATGCAAGTGCATGCACAATGAAGTTTTGTTTTATCTTTTATAGGTACATCTCCTAATCCACATTGGGATCGAAACAACCATGCTAATGTACAATTTATTGCCACAATGTTTGGATTTCACATCGTTTTCAACATCACTCTCAGTCTTATCATGTATACTGTAATGCGATTGGTTTATACCAGAAAAATGGGCGGTTCCAAGAGTCACGTGATGTTTCACCGTTTAGCAAATAACGAATCAGAACTAACAGAAAACTTAACACTTTTAGATGAAGAAGTTTGATGCTATATATAGTAACAATAGTAACAATTAAATAAAAGATTGTTCCAAATGTGATAACCGTATTTATTTTTATGAAGGAATAGAGCATGTGAAGTTAGCGCTTCTAAAAATTCTTAAAACACATGACATGATCAATGTTGCATCACAATTTACATACATGCATAATTATGTATATTTTATGGTCGGGACTATCACTTTCATATGAAAACATTGACCCTTCGTGATCAATTCCTACTCTGCCATCAAAACTCCAAACCGTTGTTAAATAGCCTAAAATGTTTTCTTAGTTTTGTTCTTTATCAGTTATTAACATTTTAATCATTCTATATGTAATGTCAATGATAAAAATCGTTAACAACAAAATTATCCGAATTAATTCTATAAAGAGCGTTACAAGCGTCTTTGAGTATATTTGAGCCGCGTCACGACAAAACCAACTTAGTGCATTTGTGACAAGCATGGATCCATGCTGTTCGCTTAGCAACCATTTTACAAGTAGGAGAAACTGATAGCGAACAGCATGGATACTGATCAGACTGCGCGTCTGGATCCATGCTGGTCGCAAACGCACTATGTTGGTTTTGTCGTGATGCGGCTCATTTTTGATAAACAATAAACAGGCCATTCAACATTAAACAAATACTCTACGAGAATGTATTTGACTTTGTACAAAGCTTGTATGAGTATCCGAGTATATTTGACTCGCCATTATGGTTTATTCAATTGAGTACTCCAAACATAGTCCTGCATTGTGCAGTTAAATGTTATATTACCAATGAATAATACTTGTGTATATTCAATTATTAATTTATTGAACTCCTTGAATATATTTAGTTACCACAGATAATTCTTTTATTCAATGTGTATCATCACCAATATATGTATTAAGAAATGTGCTGCCTTGAAAGCCATAAAATAACAACATAAACAGTACTCTTTGGATTGTTATTCATTCTCCCCAGTGTGCATTGTCATGTGTGTTTTTAGATACCATTTAAGCAAAAATTATCCGTCATAGAGTTCACATTGATAATTCTTGTCTCCAGAATGTATTATCATATGTCATTGTATAAAAATCGGAATAAAATTATTTGTCACAGATATCGCATTTACATTTTTTTTTCTAGTATGTATTATCATATGCTGTTTCTCTCCAGTGTGCATAATTATATGTGTTATAGTATTATATTTACTGGACAACGACCTCTCACAAATTTCGCATTGATGGTTTCTTGCTGTATGTACTATCAATAACGTTTTTAAGAATACATTTTTGAGAGAATGCTTTGTAAAAAATTTCACATTTATGATTCTTCTCTCCAGTGTGTTTTATCATATGTGATATAAGATTACCTTTTTAATAAAATGATTTGCCACTGCATGATTTCGCACTGGTAACTGTCTTTTTCAGGTTGTATTTTTAAGATTACATTTTAGAGAAATGCCCTATCACATATATCGCATTTATACCTCTTTTTTGTCCAGTCCATAACTATGTGTTTATACGAGTTAAAATTTGTTTTATCGGACACATAATCGTTCGCCCATATATATGTAGCTCATTTGGCATTTAGATGGGTTTTTTAATAACCTCCGCATATAGGTGCAGGGGGGAGTTTCTTTTTATGTTCAATATAGATCATGCGCAGTATGTTTCAGACCATATTCCACTGGTCTACGAATCTACTGGTCAGGGCGTGCACGTGAAAATTGCGTTGAGCGGGTTTTTCCTGTAAAACCTGCAAAAGTTAAAATCGAGTTAATATTAACTTGCTTTATCGAACACATTTATAATCGTACGCCAGAATATATGTCCATGTAGCTCATTTGATATTTTGTTTTTTTAAAGAACATTATATTTCCGCTTAAATACAGGGGAATTTTCCTTTCTTGTGTGTGTGTTCAGTATTTAAAACAGCGGTTAAGAGTGTAGTAATAAACAATTAGATAATAGGCCTATACATTTACATAAACAGCAACATAATAGATAAACATGAAAAAAGCAAATAAATTAAGTGACACATCGGGCCTTAGTGGGTCATATGTGTTTTCTATCTTGAAAGAAAAGTAAAGTTAAGGAAAGTGTGTGCGCGTTGGATCCCGCATTTGCTAGTTGACCACTGACCAGAAAGGGTTGAAAAAGCGTCGGCCTTATTGACTAGGTTCAAAGACCGAGGTGTCTTAGAGAAATTGTCACAGGCTTCATTTTTTTTAGCTCTACAATAAACTCAGAAACAAAATGTGATGTGGGGAGGAGAAAAAGCGATCGCCGATGTGTTGCTCGACTTAGTATGAGCGTTAAAAGAGAGATATGTATGTTCTATTTATATGATGGAATAGTGGCCGTGTCGTCATGCCTGAGAGGGGCAGTGTCACTGGAACATTTTACCAAGTTTTCACTTGCACTGCTGTAGTTAATCAAGTTACATTACATTTTAGAATCTAAGGTCGGATGCGAATGGATCAAATTACCCAATAATTATGCACCTGCGCACCAGCCTTAAAAATGGTTCAATCTTATTTTAAATGAAGTGGGACGAATCGTCAAAAATCTGGGCCGAATCCTCACTAAATTGAGGCGTTTTATTTTATTACGAATAATCAGTGGGCCGTTTTGCAAATTATTCACGGTATGGTACGGTTTTTGAACGGAATTAGTCATCGCGCAAATTGTTCGTGTTATAAGCGGCTGTGCTGAAATTGACATTTGTTACATTTGTAATGAGATAAAATAAAAAAGGTAGAACTATCTGTAATTGAGTGTATAACGTAACTTCACAACATTATTGTATTGATTTTATAAAAAGGTGTTTTTTAATACATATTTGCAAGGGCCCATTTTCAAAGCCTAATACCGAGGTCCTGCTTGGGGTAGTCTAGTCCTATAAATATGACGTCGCTTTGAGATATTTTTGCTTCTGGGCAAAGCAACGTCATATCGAAATTGCTCAAAAACCCATAGCATGTTCCGCCAGAAAATCGGGCGGAACGAAAAACAATGAAGACAGCCTGTATTTACATAATTTTTGACCTATCTATGAACAGAACTTAAAAATAAATACCTTTTGTCAAAATAATTAAACTGTCATATCCGAAAAATCATGATTTAATCCTCTCATGTATTTCAATTCCTTTTACAGCCGATAAACAAATGGCGGCCGTAAAGTGCGCGAAATCTGATTGGCTAATTCAAATGCAAGCATTTAACTGAGTCAGAACAATCTAACGGAATATTTTTTTAACGAAATAATTGCCCATGCACCGTCAGTGTGTTCGAATATATATTTCCGTTCAAAAATTTTGAATCAATCTGTAAAGCACATTGCTTAACCAGTATGGCTGATAGACATATATAGATTGGTGTTTATATTTTATTTTAAATTGATAAGTACATCGTTTGAAAGTTTTTGTGTATTATTGAGCATGAAATTGAAAGAAAAAATGATAAGCTTTTGAATAAAGCTTGAAAGGCAAGACAATAGACATTTTTGGATTTTTTTATGATGCTATGCGTTTTTGAGCAATAACTATTAGACGTCAGGCTTGACCGACAAAAACTATAACAAGCCTGTAACGTCTAATATATTGGACTAGGGGTAGTCCAATATATTAGACGTTACAGGCTTGTTATAGTTTTATGTTGGTCAAGCCTGACGTCTAATAGTTATTGGTCAAAAACGCGTAGCAATTTGAAAAATTAAAAAAATGTCTGTTGACTTGCCTTTCAAGCTTTATTCAAAAGCTTATCTTCTGTTCTTTCAATTGCATGGTCTATCAGTAACAAAAAGTTTCAAACAATGTACTTATTAATTAAAAATAAAATATAAATATCAGTCTTTTTCGCTCATCGGCCATACTGGTTAAGTAAAGCGTTTTACAGATTGATTCCAATTTTTTGAACGGAAAAATATTTTCGAACACACTGACGGTGCATGGGCAATTATTTCGTTGAAAAAGTATTATGTCATTTGTTATGGTCTTCCAGAAAGTGTCAAAGAATCTCAAGAAGAACGAAAAAATGATGACAATACCAGAATAAGTAGTATTTTATCAGAAATCATGAATCTGTCAGAGGTATCTTTTTCAGAAACCGTGCGCTTGGGAAGGTATGATGGGGAGAAGACAAGGCCCACAAGATTTTCTGTGAATTCTATTGAAACGAAACAAAAAATTTTAGAAAGGGCTAGAGTAAACGTGAGGAATTCTTCAGTTGATTTATGTAAGAATCTATATTTTCAAAGTGATCTCACTCTAAAGCAAAGGGAAGAAGCATATAAACTTAGATGTGAACGTAGAATGAAGAAAAATGTAAATGCTTCACAGTTAGCACATGTAGCAGGTAACTCGGGAGGTACTTCTAGTACATCTGGGTTTCCTTTTCGTTAGGAACTTTGAAAAACATAAAACTCCTGTATATAATTTAAATGTTCCAGTTCGTAACAGTTTTGTTCCAGTTACAGACGTTCCAGTTACAGACGTTCCAGTTATCGATGTTCCTGTTATTAATACCAGTTATTCAAATTATGAACATGAAGATACTTTGTCTTCACGTTTTGATATTCATAATGTAACATTAGAATCGGGTGATTCAATTATAAGTTACTCGGCTACAGATGAATCTAATTCAGACATTAGTGATTATGAAACTAAAAGCTCTTTTGTACTTAGTGAAGATACTATTTCTTGTGAAGATGCCCGTAATATTGAGCATCTATTGATATGTTTAATATATATTACACAAATGCTGACAGTTTACTCAACAAGCGTGATGAACTTGAAATTGAGATTGAATTAACTAAACCAAATATTATCATTATTACTGAGGTTTTTCCTAACTTGGACTTTCTTCTGATATTGACAGTGCTGAATTAAACATTACAGGTTATGACATAATAAAAAAATGTAATCAAGGAAAAATCTAGAGGTTTATGCATTTACTACAAGACCAACATGTTTGTTCAGGATATTTCGGTTTTAAATAATTATTCTTATGACGAGTCATGTTGGTGCTCTGTGATGCTGAATTCTAATGTTAATTTGTTACTGGGTGCTGTTTATAGAAGCCCTACAAGTACAGATCTTAATAATAGCAAAATATGTGACTTAATAGACTATGCATGTAATTTATCACATGATTATTTACTTGTTGTTGGTGATTTTAATCTACCATCTATCTCTTGGGAGGACTGGAGTACTCCACACAATGTTCATCATATAGATTTTAAATTTATAGA